ATCTCGTCGAACTCGGCCTCGCACTGAGGCTGCATGTTGTACGCCGTGACCGTCCTGATATTGATGATAATGCTGGTCACGTAAGCACTCATGTCGCCCAACGTTCTGCTTAGTTTGTCCTCGCCTTTCTTCAGGCGGATGCTCCCCCCCGAGGTCACAAGAGTGCTCGCCACGTACGTAATCGGGACAAGAGCCGCCACGATAGCGAGTGCCACTCCCCCCAGCTTCGCGTTCGCCTGCAAACACAGGATCAGACCTAGAATCAAACTCGCGCTAACGCCCAACCACATGGTGGTGTTGCCTGCAGTCCACTCTCCCAACAGAAACGTGTCCGCTCCCAAGATGTGGCCTAACCGCGCAGGCGACCTGTGCGGCTGGTCGAAGAAACCCATCTCCTGCTTCATAATGCCACCAAAGACACCTTCACGCGCCTGGCGGACCACGGCCTGGCCGCTCTGCGAGACGAACCAGCGCTGTCCCCAGAAAGCCGCAAACGAGGCGATGCCGATGCAGGTCATTATGATTGTATTATTTCTGGACTCGCGCTTGAGCCTGTCCGGGTTCGCCGCATCCACAAACGTTTTCAAAAATGTACCGTAGCACGCTCCATAAATTGGCCAGATGCATTGGTATGCGACGTAGCACACGACGCCCAGGATGTGCTGCACCATCTTGGACTTAATCGGGGCTGCAGTCCTTCTGAACAAACGCGGGGGCTGGTAGCCGGCAGTGAAGACCAAACTCTCTTGACGCGCGACGTCACCGAGCTGCTTGCTCAACTGCGCCCGCATATCGAAGCTGCCGCCCCCTCTGCCATTCTGATGCAACTTGCTGTTCTGACGTAGCTTGCTGTTCTGACGGTATTGCTTGCTGTTCTGCTTACTCATCTGTGTCGACAGGATGCCACCCACCAGTATTGCCGACTCCTGTGGACTGTAGTCAGCTGTCTCATACACTCCTTCTTCTTCGGGGGCTTGCAAGGCCCGGTCCGTTTCATCCTCTTCAGTAGGCCCCTCTGTTTGGATAGCGACCAAGGCGGCATAAATGCCATCCGGTATTTTGCTAAGCTCTTCATGGGTCCCCAGTTCCACCACAGAGCTCCCAGTCATCTCTTCCAGCACCTCCTCGCCACCATCACCGGAGTTGCTGTGCCTGTCCGTGGGGTTGTTCAGCACGGCAATGACATCTGCATTGCGGACGGTCGTCAGCCTGTGTGCAATGATGATAGTCGTAATCTGGGACTTGCCAACAATGTCGTCGAGCGTTTCCTGGACCATCTGCTCCGACTTGTTATCCAGAGCACTTGTAGCCTCGTCCAAGATGAGGATTTTGGGTCTCTTAATCAAGGCTCTAGCGATGGCCACCCGCTGTTTCTGACCACCTGACAGCTGGTT